TCTCGTAGTGCTTTGTGCTGGTGCTGGGCGAACTAGGTTTAACCTGAACGCTGATGCTACTGCTATTGTTGGGATGCGTCTGACTCCCAGCTACAACCGATACAAGGAAGGAAGGAATGTTAGTAAACCGCATGATATATGCCTTGGCGAAAGTATAGAAGACCTCAAGCTGTATGCCTAAGAAGCGTAATCCTATTCTATTCTAATCATACTAACCACAGCCAGTTCCAAACAAGAACTGACGAAAGTGTCGAAACGCGCAAATTTCTCATTTTGGCAAAACAACTGAATTGTGGCATGGGTTAAGGAATAAGAAATAACAAATAAACCAGATACAAGGAAAGAGATAAGAGAGGAGACAAATTGGGCATATTAGGTAGTTAGACAGAGTATTTGGGAAACATTGATGATCGCGAGTGGCTGCAGTCTATTACCTGCTTCCTGTTGGCGCTCCTTTTGCAGCATGCTAGCCGCATAGCAGTCCGACTTGCGATTCTCGTGTGGAAGCTGGTTTTGCGCTTGCTTCTGGCCATCCGCGGGTATCGTCTCGTACCCGTGATCCTTAGCCGTATAACTATTGCTACGTAAGCGACTCTTGTCAGCGCCTGGAGCTTGTGAGTCCATTAGAAGCGCCGCGGCCGCACTATCCAAGGGACTCACCCCAAGCATCTCGGGCTGATGGGAGGAGAACTTGTGCTTTTTCATGACCTGCAAAACAAGAGTCGAATCGTTATAATATTGCTGACTGTCTCTACCAGTCTAGTTCCTACCTTGGCGTACATGCCCTCGATGTTTTTATTGCCCTCAGCATCTTTGGATGGACTTAGACTCTTGCTGTGTTTGCGCTGTGGAGATGTATTGATCAGATCATTCGCATCGCTGTTGCCCTCGCCTCCGGCTTCTATTACAGAGATAACAGAGCTGCGCCCGGATGTAAGATTGCTACTGCTAGCTGCTGAGTGGAGATGATGTAAGCCCTGCGACTGACTCAGACTTGCCTTCGGCGTCGGTGGCAACGGTGAATTCGCCTGTCTTTTCTCTGGCTTGGGCGAGCCCAAATTGCACACAGAGGACGAGGAAGATGCTTGCCGTGAATGCATTTGTGCGCGCAGACTGTCCATATGCGGAGGAACGGGCACTGCATGATCCATGCTGTTGCTGCTGACTCGGTGTGCCGACCCAGAGCCAGAACTGTGATTCAACGGCCCGCTGTTAGATACCGCAGCACTCGTTGCCACCAAGCTACTGCTGCTGTTGATCTCAACGGCCACTACGATGGGATTAGCCTGCATCGGCTGTATTTGTGCATAGGTCTCTGAGCCGCTTGTATAAATATCGGTGGCGTTTGGAATATGACGGCTATTGGGATCCTCAATAGCCGCATAGGTTTCATCTACAAATATATCGGGATTGGATCACAGCTATTCAAAAATAATCCACTTTATGACCAACCTGAATCGTCGGAGACAGTTGCATAGTGCGAGTCATTAACGTCGCGCGTCAGCGTTGTTTTCCTAGCCGTTTGCTTAGTTGGCGGCTGCTGGGCCAGAATATTGGCCAACGGCTCGCGCACACTTATGCTCGTGTAGCCCTCTGCGAATAATAAAAACACAAAATAATAAGCTACGTCCATAAAAAGTCGATGTGAGTGTACTCACTGGAAGAGTCTTGTGAATCGCCGCTAAAATGTTGATTTGCAATTGGCGGCGTCATATAAGGAAGATCCTGACTGGCCGAAATCATGCCCGCAATAGCTGATGCTGCCGGTATTTCTACCTGGGACGTCGACTCATCGTTCAGGTGCTGTGTTGAGTCGCCGTTGAGCTGTGAGCCACGCTGCAGTGAGTCGGTTCCATGCTGTGAACAGGCAGCTTTGCTGCTGGAAGTTTTTGCTGTTGTTGATGCTACAGCTGAGCTGGAGGTGGACGGTGCATTGAGTTGGGCATATGGATGCTCGGTGGCACGCACTTTGGCGTAATCATGCGGCAAACCCTTAACACGCGAATACGGCGAGCTCACATCATCCGCCTGGCTAATGGAGCTGTGCTGGGACACGCTCGTTTGCTTTTTCAAACTGGGCTGTGCTGCTCGAAGCAATATAATATGGGATCAGTACACATTTGCAAAGGGGAGATGTATACGTACGACTTTGATTATGCGCATTGGCCAGCTGCTTGTCGGCAACCGTTTCATACAATTCCGAGCCATTGTCGTTGCTCTCCGCCACGGGTATGTCGGGCAAGCTGCGATGCGCCGCTGTGCTAGATCTGCCATTGGAATGGAATAGACACAATTAATGCAATTGAATGTCATTTGTATAGGAACGGCAGAAAAACACCAGCTGAGCACCCACCTCTTTTCTGAGTCAGCATTCGAGACTGTTGAGGCATTTAGCTCTGCTTGTGACTCACTATTGTTTACCAGGCTGTTGCTTGTTGCTGCCGCAATCGCAATTGAATTTGCATTGTTGCTACTGACCACAATTATTTCATCGGGGTTCTTCAGCTTCACCATGCCCTCCAGGCCGAGCATATCATTTCTGTGGAAATGCATATACATTGGATATAATTAGTACATTCATGTTTTTGGCGCGCGTGCATCCAACTGGAACTGGGACGCAACTTTCACCCGTGCAGTGCAGCGCTGTCCGAGTGTGTTGGCAACTGGGTGGAAGTCACAACTTCTGGTCCAATTTACTCACTTTGGTATCCTTTTTTTGCAGCAGAGACAATTGAAAAACATTACAACTAGTGCTAGCGTTAAATTTAGCGTCACAAGGAGATATGTGTAGGCCTCCAAATTGCCAAATTTTTTAGACTCAACCATGCCTACATCTATATATATACATATGTGCTATGTATGCTTAGAGATAACAAGAACACGATTTTATTGCCCCATGGGACGTCACTAAATGCATTGCACTTTTACAATTAAAACAATTACAACTGATTTTTCACATAGTTTTCGCTAGAGCTGCTGCAGTTGCAATGTTATTTACGATTTTTCCATTTGCCATTCACCCGAAAAATGCACACGCAGGCAACACCAAATGCCTTAAGTGTGGCAACACCAGAGATACACAGAGAAAAATTTCCACTTCATGAGATTTTTAATTCATTTCTTTATACAATAGGTGCGACTTCAGCTGCAATAGTTTTGGTACAAAAAGGTTAGTAATCTAATTCTAAGCTAAGCAATTGCTTTGAAAATTACAAATATTTGTCTACAAATAATTTGCTCATTTGGCACGATCATCATTATCGAAGAATTACTTAAAGTTCAGTATGCTTGAAAATAGTATTTTCAATATTTTCCTGAAGTTTTTCGACTTTGCGCGTTTGTTTCTTTAGCTGCTCCTCTATATCTTCAAACCGATTGCTCTTGTCCCTGTGCTTTTCATCCTGATAAAAGAAGCAAGTCTTATAATTATATATAATTAGAAATGTGGTTTTGTACCTTGTACTTCTCCTTGTGCAGAGCATGCTCGGCATGTAGATGGCGCAGCTTTAGGAGACGACTCTCAAAATGATGCAGCTCTGTTTTCAGGGACATTAGTTCCTTGTCAGTGAAATTGCTGGCCTGTGCCACACGCCACAAGCCCTGCACCTTGGGCTCGATAAACTCTTGGCTGTGAGGGCCAGTAGATACCAAACGCTCAAGTCGATCATAGTGATCTTTTATGCCAACATGATGTCCACGCAGAGTGTTCATATCACTTTCAAACTTTTTCACGTTTTGTTCATGCGTCTTAATCTCATTTTCATTAGGATCATTGGAAATGAGATTGTATGTATCCAGATCTTCGGTGTTTATAGCATCTTTAACACAAACAAGTTAGCAACTTGATTGCTTTTAAACTTTACTTAAACTTACTTTCATGGTTGTTCATATCCAAGGTGCCAATGTTCTCTAGCAAACTATAATACATATCCACTTTGTCCTGGTGATGATCAAACTCTTGCTTGAGGGATTTCATCTCTTCAGCTGTAAATCCTGAAATTTCTGCTTTCTCCCACAGACGATTTAGTTTCTTGTCCTTGAAAAGACTTTTATTTTTATGTCTTTCCTCGGGATCGTGGAATTTCTACAAAGCGGAATTCCTATTACAACCTGTTGCTGTAAGACTTCAAACATACCTTAAAGGGCTTTGTTTTTTCCACATCCTGTGTGTCCTCAAAATGTTCCAGCAAATCGTAGGTGCTCATTATTCCAATTAGCTTTTGACGTAGCTCATTCTCTTTTAGTCCATCTTTGTCTTTGTGCTGCGAGTTTAGCTGTTTCCACGCGATCTCCTCTTTATCGTGGATTTTTAGCTCCATGTACAAAGACTTTATTTTAGTTTCAGTCAAGCGCTGACAAAAATAAGGGGAATTTAAATATTTTTGAAACAGAATACACTACTTATGACTTACGCTTTGCGCCTTTGACCAGATCAAATTTAGTTTGGCTATACGAAAAGGTCGCTGAAGATTCCGAATTTCCGGCTCATACTTTTCGTCGATGACCTGCTTGAAATGCGGGCTGTTTGCCTCTTTACTGTATTTTTTGCTCTGCCTTTTGTCGGCGTCGACAGTTTGCGTTGCAATTAATAGGCTTATGGCAGCCAATGCCACAATTAAGTGACACGTTTTCAGCATAATTCTTCTGCAAATCAGAACAAATCTTCCAATCGGACTTCTAGTGTTGAGTTGGGAGTACAAAAAAAGAGTTACTGAATCAGCGGAACAGATGAACTAGTTAGTTCGCACTGTTCTAATTGCTATGGGTGGCTGATATTACAGTATTATTATTGATATTATTTCATTTAAACTCTCTGTAATTTAATTATAGTTGTTAAAAAAATGCCTGCGTAAATGATAATTTTATAATTTTGATATTTTTTTATTGTGTGGTGCTGCCACCTTTCATGAATTTACATATCGATAGATGCAAATTGAATACTTAAGTGCGATAAGGAAAGAGAATTCAAACAAAATGCGGCAAATATAAAACATTGGATATTGATGTAAAGCTACTTAATCTTGTATTTAATACTGTTTTATTTAGTATATGTATATAGTGTCAAAATAAAGTATGTACAAAAAACTAAACTAAGACCAAGCATCACATACTAGGACCGAATATATATTGATAATAATTGCACATGGTGATGTTCCTTAAGCTTTTAAAGGCACGTTCAGATCAACGTATGGCCTGCGACATATGTAGAGGCGTAACCATCAGCGTCAGCTCAGCGTCCTTTAAGTTAGCACCACGTAAATTGGCCTCCTGTAAATCGCTACCTGACAAATTGCAGCGTTCCAGGTCGGCGCCAGCCAGCAAAGCGCCACGTAAATTACAATTTTTCATATTTGCATTTTTGAGGTTTGCTACGCGTAAATTAACACCAGCCATATTACTGCTCTCTAAACAAGCGCCTTTTAAATTAACGCCCTCCAAGTTGGTTCGCACACCCGTAGGATCCTCAAAATTACAGCCACGTAAATTGGCGCCCTCCTAAGATCAATAAGAGGTGAAAATTAAATATGTGTATTCTTGGACACGACTAAAAGCACGAGTGAACGATTCTTACCATGTTGGCACAAAGACCCCGCACTGAAACCAATTGAGCGCATTCCAGGTTTGCATACTGAAGATCCGCACGCTCCAGGCAGCAGTAGTTCAGATTTGTATGTGATAAATTGCAACGCGACATGTTGGCATACTAATAATCAAAGAGCGTATACTTTACTAAATTATAGTTATTTATACATAGTAGAGCTACCTTACCTTAAAATTAATATTCCGAAAATCTAGTTTGCGTAAATCAGCTCCTGCTAGGTTGACACCCTGAAAGCGCAGCTCCGTAATAGCTGATGTCTGTATAATGGCTTTTATCACATCGATACGTGTCAGTGGTCTATCGTCGAGTGGTTCTTCCTGTTCTAGCTTTTCCTCCAGGTATGTGACGAGCGAGTAGATACCGAAGAAACGCGCCTCCTCAAGAACGCCCTTTAAGCTGATGTGTTTATCGCAGACGAATTCACCATGGCGTAAATAGTTTATAATTGGCTCAAAATACCGAGCACTCCGATCGATCAAGTACGCGCCCTGCTCGTCCTTCTCGCTGGGCATCATACCACCATCCTGTAGAAACATTCTCGCGAGCATAGAGTCAGGTTCTCGACCGACGAGCGTATCAATTGTTGTTGTATAAATTTTTCCACCCACATTTAGTTTCACCCATTTATTCGATGGAAAAGTATGGGTGTCGGGCTTCTCACCGCACGCTGCAACATCATTTGTATTTTTTGCCGCTCCATCGCTTTCCATTGGGTTGAATTTTTGCAATTGTTTTGTTGTGGTTTTTGTTGCTGCAATTTCAGCAACTCCGATTTTTTCGTTTGGGCGAACGGGAAAATATTCGTTGGTGTGGCAGCACACTTTTTCCGAGCTATCGATATTAATCGTTTGTGACGATAAAGTATCCATCCATAAATAATCTTATATTATTGAAGAAAATTTAGAATCATCCTCCGTCAACAAAAACACATATATTTTAAAACAGTACTGAACTCTTAATTAACCGTTAATATGACAACGGCCGAAGCCGAAAGACCTGTTGGCAGCGCCAGTAGCAGCAGTAACTCGAATGCCAATCAGCGGGGTGTCAGTCGCGTTCTTGCAAAGCTGTCTCATTCGTTGGCGGAGGGAGAGTTCTATGAAGCCCATATGATGTATCGAACGTTATATTTTCGCTATACGGCCCAGAAACGTTACCAGGACTGCTTAGATTTGTTATATGACGGTGCACAGAAACTAATCGAGAAGGAGCAGGAGAGTAGTGCTGCGGACTTGTGTTTATTGCTGGTAGATACGCTGGAGAAGCGTGGCCCACAACCAGAGGACGCGGACAATTTCGAATGGGTGCCCCGACTCGGTGGATTAATACGCGGCTTAAGCGCAACTACAGTAGAACGCGAGACTCTGATTGTATGTCAATACTACACAATTAAACCATTTTCAATTTTTCTTATGTACATTTTAATATATTTAGCACCGCGTTGTCAAATGGAGCACCTCTGTGCATGGTCAGTTCGGACATCCGGTGCTGCACAAACTAATAGCACATGTGTTCTGGACAGAGGGCAACATTGAATCGGCGCGTCATCATTATTTACTCTGTCAGGACGGCAGTCTCTGTGGACGTGTGTTGATTGAAATAAGTCAGAGCAAGGGCTTTCACAGAGAGGTGGATTTGTTTTTGGTGCAGGCTGTGCTGCAGCAGCTTTCATTGAAGGATCGCAAAACGGCTGAAGATACGTTCACCGAGTATACACGTTACCATCCAAAGCTATTGAGGCATGAGTTTCCCTACAATGAGCCACTGGTCAATTTTCTTTACTTTCTCTTCCGGCTCATCGACACGAAGAGCGTGGTTGGCTTTCGCGCCTTGCGTAAACTGTATGAGCCTTCTTTAAAGCGCGACATATCCTTCACGAAATATCTGACGAAAATTGGAGTGACGTATTTTGATGAGCAACCAGAGCAGGTGCATGCTGGACCCTCTGGACTTGGTGGCATGTTTGGCGATATCTTCAATCAGCTGATGCAAGGGTTTGATGATGATGATGATGTGCAGAGCAGACCAACGCGACGACAAAACGCTAACAGCGAACTGGACTAGCAGCAGATGCCGTCGCCGGATTGGTAGTCCGGTGAAGCCAATGGGATTAATTGATAAATTAATATATATACACCCGGGCTTTCTTTGTAATGTTATTATATATTTGCTAATTAAAATTTTGCTGGAAACTGCATTAATAAGCATATAATGTTTATACATTCAAAATTATTGAAGGCGTATGAGTTGCCAAATGGTAGAGCACGAGTTACTCAAAATGGCCTTAGTGGCCAAATTTCACGAAATCGATGATGTATTTATCGATTGTTACCCATCTCTATTGCAATGTTCAGTATTTTTAGTCTGATTGTTGTAAATTGCAATACCAGAAAAAGGTACTTGTTGCTTTATTCTAACAATTTTTGGGAACGCTAAAATATATAGTCTATGTATAGATTGTATTTTCATAAAATGTCATAATATATTTAAAAATATATATATAATTGATCATTGCTCTGATATTAAAACTAACAAAGTGATTTTTAGTACACGTGAGTATGAATAAAGTAAACAAATATTAGCACGGTTTCATCTCTAGTTCACATATATTTTAGTTTCAGAAAGAGTTAGTAAGAAAAGTTGAAAATTAAGTCTAATACTTGGTTTGTAAGGAAAACAGACTCTGAAGGAGTGAGTTTTTTAAATTTACTATGTGAGTTAAATCATATCTACCTGCCAAATTTCGAAAGAAAACAAATACACATTTCTATAAATGTCGAAAAACTTTCAGCGATATGGATGATAAAGCAGCAGCGCCCACTGCCGACGCTGCTACCGAAACAGAGGCCGGCAATGAACTTTTAACAGTCGATCACACAACAGTCACAATGGAACCAGTGCCAAGCACATCAAAGTCAACAATCACCGAACTGGATAATACCGAACGGTATACGGTGGGAACTGCGTCAGCGGCAGCCGCAGCAGCAGCAGCAGCTGCAGCAACAGCTCGAGAAATCTTGAACGTCGATACGGAACGTTGTTGTTGGATTTGCTTTGCGACGGATGAAGATAATCGACTGGCTGCGTGGGTGCAGCCCTGCCAGTGTCGCGGCACGACAAAATGGGTTCACCAGAGCTGCCTGTATCGCTGGATTGATGAAAAGACACAAAAGGGCAGTTCGCTGCGCTCTGTATCCTGCCCGCAATGCCAAACCGAGTACATTATTGTGTTCCCCCAAATGGGTAAGCTGGGTGGAGCCTTGGAAGCCATGGACACTCTGGTCAAGCGATTGAGTCCGTTTCTAGCAGCCGGTTTCTTTGTCGGCTCGCTATATTGGACAGCAGTGACTTATGGAGCTGTAACGTTCCTCCAGGTGAGTCTATTAATAATAAAAACTTTTATTATCACGACAATATTGATTCATGCAGATCGTTGGTCATGAAAATGGCATGTCTATAATGGAAGCTGGCGATCCGCTCATACTACTCATTGGTCTGCCCGCAATACCAGTTGGTCTGGTACTGGGCCGATTAATCCGTTGGGAAGATGCCCTACTACGTTTGATACGGAATCGCGGCACCGTCATGCGCAAGTTTCCCTTTGTGAATTTTATATATCCGAACCTGTGAGTACTTCATATTTTCCAAAGCTCAAAGGTTATTTTAATGGAATTGAACCTTGTAGCAATCAACAGGAGGAGGAGCTGCCCACTTCTTCTAATCCAGCTACGCCCGCACTTTCTGATCCAGTTTCCGCAACGCGAATATTTTGCGGAGCGCTGCTGTTGCCTACAATATCGTGCATTGTAGGTCGCATATTATTCGATTCAGTTGAGAACACGTTGCATCGCACACTGCTTGGGGGTCTAACCTTCATCACGGTAAAGGGCATGCTGAAAATTTACTTAAAACAGAAGCAATATGCGCGTCGCAAGAAACGTCGTATTGTCGACTATACGGAAGAGAATATACGAAACTTTATGCATCGCAACAATAACAATGCAGGCGCCGCTGGAATCGGTGGAGCTCGTCATGTCCTGCAACAGCAACAACAGCCACCGCAGCAACAGCCAGCAGCGGGGATGCCTCGTTTGATTGGTGCTGCGGCAGCATCTCGAGATCGCGCTGGTCGAGAACGAGATCATGAGCCCAACAGCGTTGACAGCGTTGTTTAAATATGAATGGACCCCCAATTGATTGATCAATTGCTAATATATTGGATAACTACTTATTGTTCAACTAGTTCAGTTTTAATTTTTCATTTTGTTAACAGCTTGGACTCTCAAGGCAAAAAAAAAAAAACACTGATAAACAAAAATGGAAAAATGGAAAAAGAAAACAAACAGATGTATGCACATGCGTGCATGTAAGCCAAATTCATTGTTAAATCTTGCGAGATTAACCATTTCAGGAATCTACGAATAACTCAGCCGAATTTCGGTTGATCAAATTTTATGTTGATAATAAAACAGATGAGAAATGAAATTGCACAGTCCATTTAGCTATTAAATACTTATATATGTTTAGATATATATATATATATATTACACCTATATTACGCTATATGCTTCCACACAATTGAATTAATGTTAACATTTTGTAAACAACAAATACTACAAAATTGCCTATGTAAATAAAACCGAAACCCTTGGCTGTGGGTGGGTTTATAATGATGCCAATGTCTGTACTTCAGAGCTAAGACCCAAATTGAGAAAAATGTAGAGGCTATTTCAACTTGACCAGATTAGATAAGCTTCGCACTGCAGCCGTCGCAGCAAGAAAGTGTGAATAATTTCTTTATTTTAAAGCACTTTGCCTTTAAGCCACTCGCCCTGAATCATCAAGATAATGAACCCGCTCTGTAACAATTGTCTATATGTATGTAGGTATACATATCTACATATATATGTATATAGTTATATATGTGTGTGTAGCGAACTGTCAAGCATGGCTTTAAGGTGCTGCACAAGAGAAGCCGCAACATCATCGCATCTATCATATATGTATATATGTACATACATGTATGAATGTCTGTACACACAAAAGTTACAGTTAAAGACCCGGACAAAGTGAATGCTCCAAAAAGCGATCTAATCATTTATAATTGTTAGCGACTCGAGTGTTTGTTTTGTCTATTTGCGCTTATCATCGACAACACACGAGCTGTTGCTGCTGCCTCTGCTGCTGTTGCTGCTGCTAGATGATATCTGTGTGTACATATAGAAAATACATATGTATAGCAAACACTGAACTTCTAACGGGCCATGCCGACTTTTGCACTGCGCTGCAATCTACGGCAATTGAGATGGTTAATATGACAACTAAATATATACGCAATGGATAATATTGCAATATATGTATTATATTGGAGTGTTACGTTAAGATCTTGAGTGTTCAAATGTTCACCTTGTAGGGCATTAGGCTAGTCTGCCTAGCTGCAACTGTTCACAATCAAGTGAAGCACAGCCAATACACAGGTAATATTCGCACACACAGACACGGATGATTTATATATGCCTCTGCCAAGGTGTTTGCAGCTGTGTGTGTGTGTGTGCGCGTGTGCGAGTGTGTATGTGTAGCCCACCTGTTTGGCTTTTCAGGAGCAATCACACGGTCTTGCGTTCACAGCAGTTGAAAGATTTCTTACTGCTTTCTTTCGCTGTCGTCACACCAACAACAACAGCGACAACAACGACAACGACAGCAACAGCAACAACAACAACAGCAATAAGCACAGCAACAGCAGCAGCAGCAACTACAACTCCAACGGGTTGCGTTTGTTCTTTGTGACTGAACGAACGTCCGTTGGGGGCCAAAGGCGGGCGTACACATAACGTAACGAATCGCTGAAGCTTGGAAGTCAGTCGTGTTGCTTGTCGACTCTGTATTGTTGTTGCTGCAGCTGAGCCGTTGTTGTTGCTGTCGCCGTTGTCATTTGTGTGCGACGACAGCGACTACGGTTAATAACAGCGCTGTGTCGGCAACTCCGCAGTCAGACGGGCACCGGCTACCAATACGCATCGCCAGCGACGCCTCGCTTTGATAACAAGCAAAGAAATAAAATAATTAAATGCAGGCCAACAAAAAATACAATAAATATTGACTAAAAATGAAAAACATTTGTATGTAGAATATACGATTGTACACATACTATATAGCACGTAGTATATACGAGTGTCGGCATTGTTGTTCGGTGGTTCCTCGACATCAAATAAAACAAACGAAATGTTTTGAAAGCGAATTGAGTTGTTGTCACAACTGCAACGGGCCACACACGATAAGCACTGCCATCCTATAGCCGATCCTGAGCCAAGCAGATCCCATTATCGTCCCAGATCACCTTCAAAGATGAGCAACACAATGACTGCTGCCCACGAGCCCATCCACTATCTGGATAGCATTTTGAATGAGGAGGAGAAACGCTGTGGCGATCAATATTCACATCAATGGCGCAATTTCACAATATCCCGTTCGGGTCGCTTCAGATCGAAGAACAAGAAACGGGATGTGGTCGATGGCAAGCTCTTTGATGGCAAGGAAAATGATAAGGTGAGTGTGTTGCACCTGCCCATAACCTAATTTTCATTTTCATTTTCAATTCAATTTCCATTTTCATTTCTATTTGTATGTGTATATGTACTTGAATTTGTATTTGTATTTGTATTACTTATCAGCAGACACTCCAAAAATAGAATATAACGATATATTATATTGATATGATAAGTGTTTACGTGATTTATATGTGAATATAATATATGTACATACATACGTACGTATGTTAGCAACGGGTTTTGGGGCTTTTTTCTCTTTGCCTTAAAAGTCCAAATATCAGTTTACAAGTTTTTGCTGTGTTTTTCATGTGAATCGAAGAAACAGCAACAGCAACAGCAACAACAACAACAAATGACATAAAAAACGGAAATGCTCATTAATAAAAAACGGAAGTTGGTTTATTATGATAAGACTGTGTATGCAATCAGCTCTATGACGTTATTTATGAACACTGTGGACTATCCTATCTACATATAAATAAATATATGTAATGAGATATATGATATACATATTTATATATTCATCCTATCACTACAAAACGTATAAAAAGTGCTGATGACAAATGTTTACCATTTCTCGAACTGTATAATATAAGTGCATTCTCGATGCCAAAAGTAGAGATATATATAATTATATATATATATGCATATATTTACTTAACATTACTCATTCGTAATTAAAGCAATTAGGAGACGGCGTGTTGTTCAGTGGAAAAGTGGCAAAAAACTTTAAACTTGTTTATGATCAGCACAAGCACAAAAAAATAATTGAAAAGGTTGCCAAGCTTAAAATTATAAATCATATACAAACAAACAGAAGGCGCCTTTTAGTCTTTATACTAATAGGGCAGAAAATGAAGTCACTTTTAGATATGCCAGAACTAGTGCAAATCGCTCTTGCTTCAAGTTTGGCTTCTATAGGCCAGATAAGATTATTGACGGTACTTTTTCTGCTATCAATTTCTTGGCCTTCACTGCAATTCTCCATTTGATATATGATGTATATCTACGTCGCAGATCTTTGGGAGTGTGCTTCCTTAGAGCCTAGCAAAACATCTTTTGTAATTGTGCTTTATGCCTCCATAAAAGGGCTGTATAAAATATAAATTAATAAAAGAACGAAAGAACGGTTGATGTAAAACGCAGTTAAAAATACATTATATTCTTGCAGGTGATAAAAAACGAGAATAAAATTCAAAGAAAGTAAACAACAAGAACAGAACTCAGTCGGGTGCAAGTCAAATAAAGTAAGATCAATATACATACATATACATATATATATATGTACACATATGTATAGCGACCGACAAACACACCTTTCTGGAAACTTTATTTTTATACCCTGAGCCCATTAAAAATGGGAAATCAGGGTATAATGGTTTTGTGAAAAGTATGTAACAGGCAGAAGGAATCATCGCAGACCCCATAAAGTATATATATTCTTGATCAGGACGACGAGCTGAGTCGATATAGCGCTGTCCGTCTGTCCGTCCGTCCGTCCGTCCGTCCCTCCGTCCGTCCGTCCGTCCGTCCGTCCGTCCGTATGAGCAAAAGGATCTCAGAAGATATAAGAGCTAGAGAGCTGAAATTTGGCATGCATACTCGTGTATACCATAGGCAGTACGAGTTTGCTTTATTTTTTCGATAACTCATCCGATAACTTTTTTATCGAGAATAATCGAAAAATCGACTTTGTTTTTTCAGCCTAATTTGAACACTTTTAGAACTGGAGACTTCAAATTTGCGTTGTATATAAAGTTAATGGATACAAAGATTTTGTAATTTACAGATTTTGGATACCACGCCCCATTCGCCCCCAATTTGTAAAAAACGCATTTCAAGTACTAGAGACTTGTGCTTTGGAATGTACACACAAATTCATCAAATAATTGCACTCTGAAAGTTTCATTAAGATCATACGTCTACAAAAGAAATTATTCAACAAATAAATTCTCATAATATTGCCCACATTGCAGCGCAGCCCAAGCGCAGCCGCTGCTTACTGCGCAGTTTGCAGAGCGCGTGCTTATAAGTGCATGTTTATGTATGTGTGCATAAAAGAAGTCCAGAACGATTAGAATATCAGCTTGGAGGGTTCAGGTTATCTCCTAGTCGAGCAGTCTCGACTGGAGCCTTCTTACTTGTTGCATAATGCGCTCGTGCCCAAGACAAATGAAAGAACTTGTTGAGCCTGAACTTTCAACGTAGCCCAAGAGCCAAGAGCCAACAGCTGCCTGCAGGAACAAAGTGCCCGGCGCAGGCTCCACACTTGCGTTCCGTGTGCGTGACGCATTCAGGTTTAATGGGCGTCCATTGTTGTGCCGCCAGTTGACGATTTTATTATTATTATTATACCCTGAACCCATTGAAAATGGGAAATCAGGGTATAATGGTTTTGTGAAAAGTATGTAACAGGCAGAAGGAATCATCGCAGACCCCATAAAGTATATATATTCTTGATCAGGACGACGAGCTGAGTCGATATAGCCCTGTCCGTCTGTCCGTCCGTCCGTCCGTCCGTCCCTCCGTCCGTCCGTCCGTCCGTCCGTCCGTCCGTCCGTATGAGCAAAAGGATCTCAGAAGATATAAGAGCTAGAGAGCTGAAATTTGGCATGCATACTCGTGTATACCATAGGCAGTACGAGTTTGCTTTATTTTTTCGATAACTCATCCGATAACTTTTTTATCGAGAATAATCGAAAAATCGACTTTGTTTTTTCAGCCTAATTTGAACACTTTTAGAACTGGAGACTTCAAATTTGCGTTGTATATAAAGTTAATGGATACAAAGATTTTGTAATTTACAGATTTTGGATACCACGCCCCATTCGCCCCCAATTTGTAAAAAACGCATTTCAAGTACTAGAGACTTGTGCTTTGGAATGTACACACAAATTCATCAAATAATTGCACTCTGAAAGTTTCATTAAGATCATACGTCTACAAAAGAAATTATTCAACAAATAAATTCTCATAATATTGCCCACATTGCAGCGCAGCCCAAGCGCAGCCGCTGCTTACTGCGCAGTTTGCAGAGCGCGTGCTTATAAGTGCATGTGTATGTATGTATGAATAAAAGAAGTCCAGAATGATTAGAATATCAGCTTAGAGGGTTCAGGGTATCTCCTAGTCGAGCAGTCTCGACTGGAGCCGTCTTACTTGTTTCTTTTGGCGCCGCTGTAAGATGAGTAAGGCCAGCGAATTCAACAAAATGTCATATGATATATATTCAAATTTCGTTACAAAAAAAGGAAGATATATTTATATACATGCATACACATGTATGGATGCGAAACCAGATACATTACAGAGCTGCCATAAGAAGAAGAAACAAGTATAAATGAAAACAAAATTTGTTTCTGTCATCGGCACGCGTCTCTGGTTAAATTTGGCAAGTGAACCGGCCAGCCGGTCGGTCAGTGGTTGAAGAGGGGTAAAGCCTCAACCTGAGGGTGTTCCACCTGCCTTTTTTGTTTTACTTACGCAACAAATGCAGTCAGCGAACGATCGGTCGATCGATTGATTGTCAGCGGCAAACGTGCTTGCTGCGTCATTGTCGTCTGTGCATTGAACTTGGTTCATTTTATGAAAAGCAGAAAATAAACAACAACAAAAAAGTATAACAAATATCGCTAGGTGCTTTATTACACCTGTTTAACCTAGTCCAGCTTGGACATGTTTAAGTGCTTAGCAAAGTGTCGAGCGGTGTTTGCTTGAATTTTATAAGCTAGCTATAAATTAAACTAACGAGATAAGTTTTCAATAGTCTTTTTGATATAAGAGTATTTAAAATACATATCTCTAAGTCATAATTTACTTCGGCTTAGACCACATGATGCATGAGTAATATTAAAAAATTCTAGCTTTCATGTTTATTTAAAATTTGATCAACGAATTACTTTACTTTACTAAATAAATTAGAATCTAAAAGTGGATTCCAAGAGCATTTCTGCCTTGATAAGTAATCAAACAAACTATTTCTGAAAGTTTGCTATTTTATAATGAAACTGATTTCAAGAAGTAGAGCAACATGGCGTATAAGCTATATTTAAAGAATCTTTAGACCTTCATTTAGTATTTCAGCTCATAGTATTTGATTTTATATACACTTAAATTAGTTTTTAGCAGTTTCTTGATTTCTCGTGACGTCCCCTTGGTTTATAACATGCGAAATATGAAAAAGCCTCTGGATTATATACATATCTCGCACGGGTGTAGATATATGTATGTATGTGTGTGTGCCAATAATGATAATAGTAAAGCATGAATTATGGCCAAGGTTTTACCAACGAAAGCACTCAAACAATATTGTTTGTACCTATATCAGATATTGCAAAATTTTCTTCATTGCGCTTTAACAGCGCAAAAACCTTATCAGCAACTAACAATAGAGATTGCAAAAACAAAGGCAAACCTTTTTTCTGTTTTGGTTTCTCCATTTGGGGAAAAGCACCTATGAGCATACATACCTACACACATATATAGCATATAGGTAAGTGGCTGTGCACGCTTGGCTGTTCTGTTGCCGCCAGTTGTCAAAAAGGAAAAAAAAAAAAAAAAAAACTCCAGCCGAGAATTATATTTATGTATATACTGTATGTATGTTTGTATGTATGTATTGGGTGCATGTCGATAGCATGTGCTTGATTAAAATCAGGTGCTAAATCAAAAATATGACTTTGAACATGTCTTTTGATTACTTTTCAAGAAGTCAGAGTCTCTGATTGCTGGATAGCCAAGTGAAAACTTAATCTAAATAGACTTTCATTTTGTTAGCTGATAATAATATTCAAGAGTTATTGACTGTTTGTATTGATTTCGTTTATATTTGATTTCGTTTTATTTATTGCAGATCTCAGCGCGCAATACAACCAGCGCCATGTCCAAATCGTCCTCCTATAATTCAAATACAACAAACTCAACAACGGGCGGCAATAATGCAGCGGCGCCGTCGGTGCGAAGTCAACGTGACAAAACGGAGAGCTATAAAAGTTTTTACGAAACCAATTTATAGATAATGGCTGGGTTATATATATACTTTGACATACATATGCATATACTATATACATATACATATATATATACATATGTATATACAGCTATATGCACTATATATTTGCATTACGCTTTATTGGATCAACCGAAGAGTTTATTGCACAACATGTGAACTAAATCAAATTTGCAAAATTCAAATTGAGAACGAAAAACTTAAGGAAAAACAATACAAAGGAAGACAAAAAAGGTTGGGTGTTTAGAATTTTCAACTATTTAGTTGTAGTAGAGTATAGAACAGATTAGGGGCTAACTTAGGCACGCTCTAATTATATATATGTCGAAGTAGATCATTGTACTTAAATATATACATACATAAATATATGTTTAAATAAGTAAATGTATGAACATTATTATCTCTTTCTTGCTTAGATTATACAAGTATTAAATCGTGATAACTGCACTAAATCGTATATGCATATCTTTAACTATACACATTACAATATATTATATATATATACACATATGTATATTTGTCTTAATTTTAATAAAAATTCAGTGCTGAAAACGTATCGATAAGCATAAGATTATTGTTTAGCCGTTTACTCTTATTAGCGAAATCATGAGGCGTCCTCGTCAGCACTGGTTGTCGCCGTCGGTCGAATATAGCTGACATCGAGCACACAAAACTTGGCCCGACACATGGGACAGGTGCACTTCTGCTCCAGCCACACTTCACGGTCGATGTCGCTTTGACGGGCGGCAAACCAGCGCGCCAAGCACTCCACACACCACATCGGCCGACAATAGCAATTGGAGCAGCGTGCCTCATCTGTTAGAGGAGCGCCAGCCCGATTCAAATCGGAGCATTGCTTGTTTATCTTAATATTCGGCTCCGCCAGCATGCATGCAAAGCACTTGTCTGTAATGGGTTCCGAGCTGAAGATAGGGTTGAGAGCTACCTGCGCTTTGAATACGTCCACAAATCGATCGATGACGCTGCGATGAAATTGTATATTGGATGGTATGGTAATTGGCCGTCGAAGACGATCCTCCAAGCTACGAAACTCTAAGGCATTTATGCGAATGTTAAAATCAGAAACACCTTGACGCATCGGTTGAACAACTATGCTTATCATTTGCAAGGTGTCGTTCTGATCGTGATGCGATATATTGTAAGTCTCCGCCTAAAATTGAATTCATATTATTCATTATCTACAACATGTCGCCATCTTCGGGTCGTCTACTTGCCTTGGCAACGCTGAGAGAAGTGTTGGCTTGGTGCGCAAAGTTAACGTTGTACATGGTCGTTTTAATGATCCAGTTTTCCGTGGCAATCACCGTGCTAATAGAGTTGAGTTTCTTTTTGTAGATGTCTTGACGGCGAAATTCGGTGTTAATGTCGCTTGCAACGGCGCTGTAATTGCCCGGGGTATTTGAGTATTTTGCCAGGGTTTTGTTTATCGGATGTCGACGCCAGTTTTGCTGATGCCACTTAAATATCAAAGCCGGGACAGCTAGCATAGCCAGTACACTGAAGCGTTGCGCCATTTTCCAGGTGAGCGTTTTGAAGGCCACAGCCTCCTGTGGCATAGGAAAATCCGGGTCAAGCTCATTATCTTCAAGCGGTTGTTGTGTGGCGAAAACTGAAAACTTCAGTCTGTGTATTAGAAAATATGTGACAGGCAGGCAGCTATGCACAAAGAGATTCAGAGATGTGCGGCGCAGATGGTAGCCAACAAAATCTTGATATTCCTCTCCCAGGAAGGAAGAGAACACCTGCTCAATAGTAAAGCCCAAGCGTTGAAACTCCTCGGGCGGATAAATGACGCACATGCACAATAGGAAGTAGAACAAATTGAAGAGCAGTTCCGACTCATCCATGTTACGAAAAATTTTGAAAAATTCAACAAAAACTAGTAATGAAATATACAAGTCCAGGGTCTAAATTAGAGATGCGCAATTATTGTTGATGTGTCGCAAACGCAGAGTTGCCTTTGATTTATCGGGCCCGATAGTTTATTTTTGAGTGCGTCGCTATATTTAAATTGTCATTTTGTTTTCTTTATTATTTTTTATTTCGTTTTTATTTATCAGCTGAAGCTTTCCTATTCTATATAATTCTTAGAACCATATAAATAGACAGTAAATAGATAGCATATATCATTAAATTCATTTTCATCTTTAGTGTATTAAATATATATTTCTGTAAAAGGATTTTCAATACAAAACTTTTTTTTTTAATTGTGCTATTGTCTGATGATGCAAATAAATTTAAATATTAAATGCCTTTTGCCTAATGAAATCATATTTTCATTGGGTGTCATGGAAGCTATGTTTACGTTAGGGAGATATGTTTAACTAGGCAGTTAACAACTTGCGTTAGACTTTATGCGGACATTATGTACATAACTTTTGATACATAAACAATATAAATGACAGACCACATACATTAAAAGATTGATATTTCTATATGATTTATGGAATGTGTGTGTGTGTGCGTGGCTTGCAGAAAGTAAACTAGTGCGTATTACTGGACGGTTACTTTACTGCTGTAGTTCACTCAGGTTCGGAATATTGTTGGTGTAATCATCATTGGATGTCGAACTTGAGTCGTTGGTCAACTCAAAGCTATTATCGCCGCTGGTGCCGGTTACTGTCGTTAGACTTGAGTCGTTATTGGAATTATGATGCTCAGAATTGCTCAGATTAGGCAATGACACATCCGCCTCTTCGTCATCCACATCATCGTCTTCGTCGTCATCTTCTTCGTCTTCATCTTCGTCAACACTAAGGCTGTTTGTGCCGCTGCTATTGTTACCCCCGTTATCGCTGCGAGCTTTGGCTTCGATTCCATCAGGTTGCACGGTATTCAAATTTAATGCGCTTATCGCTGGCAAATTATTATGGCTCATATCGGGGGCTGTTTTCGTTGTTTTCGATTTTGATGTTGCTGTGGCTGTTGTTGTCGGCGTCGCATCAGATGTGCCACTTATCTCGCAGCTGGAATTTTCAATTAAAAGCGTTATCAAAGGCACATTGGGTACGGTCGCTGTCGAAGTGCTTGTACTATTATAGCTGCCATTGCTGGCGGTGTCCGAATTGCCAGCATCCAGTGGCGACGTAGATGTCGTTGCTATTGATACTGTCTCGGAGCAGCCATTGAGTATAGATAGATGAGGTATATTTTGTGGGGGCTGTGTTTGATTTTGATCACTTGCCGACACCAGCTTTTCACTACTTGCATTGAGAATAGATAAATTGGGCATGTTAACCGTGTTTAAGTTGGCTGAGGATGAGGGTTCATTTGTTGTTATGAGTGGCCCATTGCTAGTTGTGGCCTTGAGATGACGGGATAAGCGTGAAGATCGTGGTGGTGCGACTGGCACCGGGCTGGAGCTGGATATGGATGCGCCATTCTCGATCTGTTGCGGCACACTCTTGTCACGTCTAACCATATGCTTGTCGAAGTAATCCAAATTCATGCCAGTTCCACGCGCCTGTGCTGCGGCTGCATTTAATGCGGATGTATTGGGCTGGTAACTGGCACCATCGTCCACATCCATGTCCTCGCTAAGATCCTCACTGCACAAATCCAAGCTTATGTGCGCTGCTGGTCCATCGGTGGGGCGATCAGGTTTAGGCTCTAAAACATAATATAAATTATTAGTTTTAATATACATTATATTGTTTCCACTATATATCTACGAACCATTCAAGAAATGCAAGGCCACAAAATCAGCTGCACTGTAGATCTCGGCCTGTACGAGCAACTGCAACAGCACACCCACAGTGGGGCGTTCGTTCAGTTTGCCAGAAGTTTTCCACTCATCGATCATTACCTGTGATATGCTTTGGCCGGGCGTCAGGCGCTCAGCGGTCCCATCAATCAGACTTATTTGTTGCGCGTTATACTTAAGCCCCACCTTGGCAGCGATTTCTTGATACTTGAGTGCTCCTGGTGCGCTGCAGGCCTGGGCATCCAGACGTTTCGGTATAATGGACATTAGCTTGCGCCAGCAGCCATTCACATCCAGTATTGTGGCTAATTTATAAATGTCGTTGTCATCGACGCGCCGCAATTCCGTGTAGCGCGTGTATTTTGAATATTTGGGCACGGAACTTGTGCTGTTACAAACAGTCGCCCAGCCGTTTGCTTTTGTTTTTGCCATTTCCATTTCGTTTTGGTTTCTTCGAACCCTTCAGCTTTATCGCCACCGCGCGTCTTTGATATGATTGCGGCTATTGTTTGATTGTCATGCACGCTGCTATAATAACATTTTATATTTACTTGCGTTTGCAGCTCTAGTGTTTTTACTGAATTTTCCTATGAGCCATCATCAATGGTTTCTCCGCACACACATATACATATATATGCGAATGTGGAATAGCCGAAGCCAACAGCTGTTTAAGCTTTCAGTGTTGCCTTATCGATATAGTTATCGATAGCAGTAATTTCCCTATTATAGCGCCGAACTGTGTGTCTCATTCAAAATTAAAAAATTTAAATTATATTATAATAAATTTGTATTTTTATTTTTAAATAGCTGCAAAATATTTGTATAATGGATACAATTACATTTAATACATTGTACAATTGTATGTTTAAAAAATACATATAAACAAGGACGAACATAAACTGATAAGGTTGTAAAAGTGGATATAAATTGCTTTGTGCTTATGCTAATTATCCGTTTTCGTTTCGTTGGTTTTTTCTAAACAATATATATGCAGATACATATATATGTACAATAATACATATATAAAAGATTTGTGTGCTTCTTACTTCGCTTTGAATGTATACGCTCTACTTATTTTGTATATATTTAAGGTCACTTTCTTATTTGTTTCGCATATGTTCAATTCGCTGAGGTTTCGCTAGTAAAGACGGAATGTTTGCTGATTTAGATCTAAACGAGACTCTTGAGTTTCTGTGTATTTTTGTAAAGCTGTGCGCTTTGCCAAAAAACATCGGACGGTATTATTCTTATTGCCTAACTACTAATTGTTGACGTTGGTAAAAAAAGAAGTGGTAATAAACAATAACACGCTCATGACCAGAGCGGTATTAATGTTGTGACCATGTCTTGTATTCGCTGCATTGCGTGTAGTCTTTCCCATTTGGAAGCGCAGTGTGGGACTGGACATGCGTCCATCGCCGCCATTGCTGAAGGCTAGCACTCGCATATTATAGCTCTTACCGGGCGTCAGCGTGTTAATATAGGCCTCGAGTTTACTTCCTATAGGCACAATAGTATCGTTGGCAGTGATCATATTCTGATCGGTCTCCCAAATGCGAACCTGTGAAAATTCAAATAATATTTAACATTGCCTGCCGTTGACACATTAAAAGCATAATCCATACCTTATAGCCAGCCAGTGGCTCTTCATCTTGCGCCGGCGATACATAACGCCACACAACACGCACCGTGGACGGATTTATGCCATAGACATGCACTGAAGACGGCGGCTTCTGTGGTGCCTTGCGATATGTGCGCTCTAATATGAATACAAAATATATATAGTAAGGATGTGTTAAGATATACACACATAATGTATAAACGTTACCTTCGAAACGTTCGCTTTCGGGACCCTCGCCAGCTGCATTGTAGGCCATGACCTTAACGAAGTAATAAGTATCCGGCTGCAGACCCACAATTAGTGCCCATGGCCTAGTGGTTCGTGATAAGTAGTAGACGGCATCCTCTTCCTGATGTTCGGTCTTCCAATACTTAAGCTAAATTTGGAAACAGCATGAGTAAATAAATTGCAGCAATATGATTTGAAAACTAAAACTTACCCTATGTCCTATTAGTTTGCCTCGTATGTTCTCCCGAGACATGTCAATGGGGCTCCAGGACACGTTGAAGCAAGTGGAGTTGTAGGCTAGCGCAAACGGTTTCTGTGGCGCCACTTGTGGCATATCCTCGGCAGAGTAGATGACAACCGTTTCGCTTTCAGGTCCTTTGCCGATGCTGTTTATAGCCTGCACCTTCACCTCGTATTCAGTGTAGTAGTTGTTGAGCGGAATGTTTACCACAGCTACGCCCGTATTCTCTTGGTTCTTTCTAATGTCCGAGGCCCATTCCAAGGCACCCTTTAGTTTCCAGAACACCTTGTAATGTATGCCGTGACTGTGCTGCTCCTGTGGCAATAATGGATCCCAGGTAATAGTTAGATCCCCAATCTTGCCACCACCTCCGCCCACATTGCGTGGAGCTATATATGGCACATCGTCGTAAGTGCTGTAGATGGGCGACGGTGCTGATGGTGTGCCAATGCCCAAATCATTAACAGCTGCCACGCTGAATTCATATGAGGACCAGGGCGTTAGATTTGTCACCTCAGCTTGCTGACGAGATGTATAACGATCCACCTCACGCGCCTGCACATGCATGGAAACATTGACCCACGTGCGATTCCAGTTGGTGCGTCCTAGTATGTTGTAGTATCGAATGGGCCGGCCATTGTTGACACCATCCACCCACTCAATGATGGCCTTGGTCTTGCCAATCTCAATCACCTGCACGCCACCAGGAGCACCAGGAGCTCCTTCAATGATGACATTTGTCTTGGTGCTAATCTCATTGACCGCTGACTGGACGACACACTCGTAATCGCCAGAGTCCCGCATCGTTGTGTTGTGCACCGTCAATCTATTCCAATCGACGATCTGTAAGAATATTTGGACAATGGAATATATTGGACTTAATACATTTTGAAAATTGCTAAAAGAGTTAGCATACAATGCGCTGAGTGCCATCATGATCATTTCGAAGTATCTCTCCATTGCGTTTCCAAACGTAGGCAATGTCCAGCAGCTCATCGAAGGCAGCCTCACAGTGCAGGTAGATAAGATCATGTTCGCGAGAAACAATTCGCTGCGGGGGCGTCTGCACAAAGCGAATTTCCTCTATAAGAATAAACAAATTAATTCTGTTAATTAAAAACGTAATAAAAATTTAACTTACGCAGCACAATAACTCGAGCATGTGACTCATCCGTGCCCGCCTGATTGGAAGCAATGCAGGTGTACATTCCCTCATCATCGCGAGACGTGGGCGATATGATGAGGGTACCGCTGGGCAGTATACGGCGATGACCACCGGAGCCAAGCAACTGGCCGTCCTTTTTCCACTGGAATTTCGGACGTGGTGCAGCCTCCGGATTGCACACAATAGTTGTATTGCCATTGTATACAGCATAGATCTCAGATTCGAGTGGATGCTTCTTGAATGATGGCTTCATGGACAGCACACGCAATTGAGCCGAACTGAAGGAGGTCTTCAGTTGATTCTGTGCGCCGCACTGGTACATTCCCTCATCCTTCTCCTTCTCCAGGAACTTTATGGTTAGCACATTATCTTGTATTATATACCGATCCCGATTGATGGTCAAAGGATCGAGACGTTCAGCATTCTTGTACCAAGTGTAGTTGGCATCGGGTATGGCAAACGCCTCACAGATGAAGGTTACATCACTGTTATAGTCCTTGATCATGTCCTTAAGCGGTATGGTAAACTCAGGGCGCATTTGTATGTTGATATAAATGGACTTCTCCAACGTCTTGCGAGGATTGGTAATGCTGCAGGTGTACTGACCATTATCATTGGTAGTCGCATTCTTAATGATTAGAACGCGACCATAGCTCGTTGTGTAGGCATTGCGCTGCAGCGGCTGTCCTTGGCGCGTCCAGTTGTACGAAGGTATAGGATAACCAAATGCCATGCACTCCAAGCGAATCTCTTCTCCAGCGATGGGAGCCTCCGGGAAGACTTTAGGAAAGGTGTTGGCAAAGATCAGCGTCTGATAGTTGCTGTTGGGCGTTACTCGCAGCGGAAAGAAGGGTCCATTACGGCCCGTATCGGAGACAAGCGTTTGAACAGTACACGAATAATTAGCCCGATCCACGGTCTCTATAAATGAAAAGTACAGTGCACCATCATGGGAGACAAACACGCGCTGATCCTCCTCCACAAAATTGGGGAAATAGTCACGCGCCCAGTAGTATCGAATGGCTGGATAATGTTGCGGCGGATCACAGAAGATGGCCTTGCCCCAGTTCATCTCGCTGGACTCCGCTGAACGTTTCAAATTAAACTCCATGATGAAACCGAAATTGAGATGCGCACTCTCTGAGCGAACGCTGCCAAACTTATTTCGCGCAACGCAGTGATAGGCGCCCTGATCTAGCGCTTGCTTGGGATCATATATAATCAGATTGCCGCCTGATATGGTGTAGCGATCCTCTACCAGTGGATCAATACGTTTGTACTCTAGCGTGTCATTCACATAGACCTCACGATACCATTCGTAGGAAGGAGTTGGATAGCCGCCGGCCAAGCAGCTCAGCGATACATCGTTAATCAAACGATTCTTGTTCACATCGAAGGTTGTGTCATTCGGTTGCTTCACAAAGAACGGGCCTCGTGGAATGCGCTCCAGATCGCGTATATCTAAGCCATAGGTATAGGGACGCTTGTCATCCAGTTTTATGTTGACATTGTCCGGGCTGTACAGCGCTTTGGATTCGCAAATAAAAAGATTCAGTTCAATTTCGTAGGCAGGCATAAACATCCAGCGATCGCGCTTTTTCGAATAGGCGTAGACCACGCGATCGCGCACATAACCAGTGTCTCCATATGGCTGATTGGGCCCTGCAAAGCATGATTGGTTTTACAACATCTTTGATTGTTAATTATCGACATTTATACTTACCAAAGAAGCCACGCAAATTATTTTGATTGCGTTGATTCAAGGTATTTGTTTGTCCGGTCAGTGCATTGTAGTACTGATTGGGATTGTTGAAATTGCGATTGTTAAGATCATTTTGCACTAGGAAGCGATTGTCATTCAGATCTTGGTTTTCAAGCGCCTGCATCTCATCGAACGCAAAGGAGTCCTCAATCTGTATTAACTGCGTATTGTCATCGTTCACCCAGTTCTGTGGCCCTGTTTGCCGGGCTGAGATGAAGAATCGATTCTGCCGTTGATTTTGTATGATTAGCTGCTTTAAAATAAACGCATGCTTCTCCACATTGTCCACATTCACTAAATCCGCTGTATAGGCTTTGCAGATCTTCTTAGCCTCTGCCCAGTTGCGCTTGGGCGAGCGTATAAAGCGATAGCATGTCTGTCGGAACGATATCCAATGCTCGGGACAAAAGTTATCCTCATCGGTGAACATGTCCCTATAGCCCAGGCCCGAATTAATCGTATTAGTCACGCTGTTGCGGTTGAAGGGATCATATTGCGGGCCCGTATTTGAAATGCCGCCCGGCCCCACAATGTTGCCACCGCCACCAACGCCCAGCATCGGTCGGTTGCTGTCGTAGTTGTTGTAACCATTGTAGCTATTTGAGTTTAGACCAGTGCCACC